GTTTTTTTGCCCTCTCAGGGATCATTTACGGCAAACACTCTAGAGAAATACAAAAATTTCTCTCCGTCGCAAATTATGATGCGTGAAGAGAACGGTTTGTTGTGCATTACTTTCGTTTCCGATTTCAACTTCAGTACAAGGTATCATATACCATACACGTGAACAATACAAATCGTTCAATTTTGGGTTTTTAAATACCTGATATACGCTCTGCTTTTCATAAAACAACAATGTGTAAGGAAATCCTGTCATCTGAGCGTTTAAGCACAAATGTTATGACCCAATCCTGTTTCGGTCCCTTCAGACAGACATGACAACGAAATCACAGCTAGAGTGTAGTTTCGTTTCCCCATTCAGCCACGGCCAAATAGTGGAGATTTTTATTGATGACGTAATGACCCGGTCACATGAATATTAAATGAGACTAATTAAATTAGCTATAGATCAGACATCGAAAATCCTTTCTTGACAATTTTGAATTACCAACAAGACACCTTTGGTCATGGGCGAGAAATAGAACCCTTTGGCAGAATATCATCGTGCGTCAAACACCGAATCGGTGATGGCACATAAAGAAGAAGATAGATCTATCCGGTTCCCACTTTTTCGCTTGTAATGCACGAAAAACGCTTTCATGCCATCGCTGTTTAACCGCTGATTCTGGGATCGCATGGTGCTTACCCAACTCCGTGGAGTTTAGTGTACTCTTCCCTGATAACTTTTATATGTGTTTACTGTTACATTTTCCAAGTTTTATGAATATAAAGCAAAATACGATGTATATTATAAGCTGAAAGCGTGCTCACGAGAGAGTATTTCATGTCTAAATGCTGATGTTTAACCGCCGATTCAGGATTGCAGCGTGTTTCCATACTCTACGAAGTTAAGTGTACTCTTTTTTATGTGTTTAATGTTACATTTCCAATATTTTTGAATAAAAAGCAAAATACGATGCATGTTCTAAGCGGAAAGCGTGCTCACGAGATTGACGCCATGTTGAAATTTTGCTGCCCATGTCCCAATGCCGTTACCCAGTGTCGTGGACGTAGAGATATATTTATGTAACCATCTGTGCGTGTATTGACACATTTTTTTAAAAATCCGTCAAAGATCCCTGTGTGTCTCACGGCGTTCTGGACCAGGACTGGAGAAGCGTGAACAATACAAAAGGCACGGATAAAAATGGGAAAATACATTGTGATAAAGCAGGATGGACTGACATTAACTTCCCTGGGTGGTTCAGATTCAAAGGCAATGCTGGGAATAGAATGCTAGACAAGGTCAGTATACACTGATGCTCATAAGTTAAGCAACACCCCGATTTTTTCAGAAGTTTCTTCTATCATGATCATTATTTCATTTGTTGGTGGGATTATGCATATTTCTTTCATATTTTATAAATAACTTATTCAAGTTGAATATTTCGGCTAAAGAAATACACCACACAGCTTACTGTAATAATCAAAATAACATTATTAACCAAACGGTACTAAAATATGCCAAACCATGTGTCAAAAAAGTATGCTCACACAGCAAAAAGTACGTGCTGATTAAAACAGCTTATTATGAAAAAATAAAGTTCGATCATTTAAGAATTAGTTTTAATAAAAGAAGACTGTAGATAATAGATGATTAATCGTCTATTATGCAATAAATATCGGGTGTGCTTTCCCTGGTTTTGAACAACAGCTTCACATTGTCTCCTGCAACTNGTTAAGCAACACCCCGATTTTTTCAGAAGTTTCTTCTATCATGATCATTATTTCATTTGTTGGTGGGATTATGCATATTTCTTTCATATTTTATAAATAACTTATTCAAGTTGAATATTTCGGCTAAAGAAATACACCACACAGCTTACTGTAATAATCAAAATAACATTATTAACCAAACGGTACTAAAATATGCCAAACCATGTGTCAAAAAAGTATGCTCACACAGCAAAAAGTACGTGCTGATTAAAACAGCTTATTATGAAAAAATAAAGTTCGATCATTTAAGAATTAGTTTTAATAAAAGAAGACTGTAGATAATAGATGATTAATCGTCTATTATGCAATAAATATCGGGTGTGCTTTCCCTGGTTTTGAACAACAGCTTCACATTGTCTCCTGCAACTTGCCACCAAATTCTGCCAATCTTGCTTTGGGAGCCGGTTCCCTTCTTCAGTTACTGCATGCTGGACCTCTCTAATGTTTCTAACTGGAGTTTGTCTCTCATTTACTGCCCTGTCAATCATATCCTAAGCATGTTCTATTACATTGAGAATTGATAAATATGCAAGCCAATCCAAATGTGGGATACCGCGCTGTTGCAGCGCGTCTTGCACGGACCATGCTTTCTGGATGGGCGCATTGTCCTGCACCAAAATGATTTTTCTTTCTGGATTTGCTTGAATGTGTGAGATTGTATGCACCCCAATGGTATTTCGTCTCTGTATTGTTGACCAGGGCACCTCCCTTGAATGACGTACGGTGGCAATTTTTCATTGTTTGGCTGATATAAACTAGTCCTGGTGGCATAATCGAACCAGATATCTTCATCTCTTGCGTCGGTTAATATTGGTCTACCAGAAAGAGGCTTGTCCAATATATACGAGTTTGGCGCCATTTTGCTACCAGCTTGGACACTTGACTTGGTGCTGCTTTTTTGTTGCCTTGCAATCTGTCTCTTTGGCACCCCAGCACGATGACTTCCCATTATTTGCCATCTGATTACCTCGTTGAGTCCCCTTCTAACCATTGGTTGGTCCAAAATAACAAATTGTGCCCATGAAACTAGCCAAACTGGAAGCTCCTCATGGCATGGCCAAACTGTGTTTTTCGCAAGTGGCACCCCCATTGCATATTCTTTCGCGTCCAACAGTAAATAGTACTCTAATGTCACGGTCCAGTAAGTCAAAGTAAAAACAAAAGAAATATCTAGCTACTGTACAAATTTTGCATCAATAAAAATTTTGGTTGCTGAGAAATTCGAGAAATAAGAAAGTGTTGCTTAACTTATGAGCATCAGTGTAGGTACACTGAGGAAAGACAATTCTGGCTTGGCCTTTTCTAGACTATATCAGAATTACTGACAGTATACCATTACGGTTTTCACTACACGTTCAACTTGGTCACACCACACTTAAATACTCAAAACACACACACACACATACAGTATAATGAGAGAGAGAGAGAGAGAGAGAGATGACGAGGGTAAACTAGTAATGCTGTTAAAGGACATACCCAGTATGTACAAATTCCATATCATGTATCTCAATTTTTCAGTCTTGAACATGCAGAATATTTACTATTTCGTTACTGTTGGTAACTGTTTGGTCATAGTCTTTGTGAAAATGTGCTAGAACTAATAAAACTATTATATCAAAGGCAAATCAATATGACTGATGGAATAAAAGTATAAAGTATGTTAATAAACATAACCGATGAGCAAATATAAGTCATATTTTTAAGTATCTTTCATATACCTCTTTATTGTACTTTTTAAATTGCCTCATTTACAGTGCCCAGAGCCCTTCACATGCGGAACTAATGCTCCCATGTGGTTGAACGGTAAACACCCAGCAATAGGAGATGGCGTGGTCAGTAGAAAGACATGCGTGAGCCACCATAATGGCTGTTGTAGTTTGTCATTTCCAGTCCTAGTGAAGATGTGCTCGGCGGGATTCTATGTGTACTTATTACAAAATGCACCAAGATGCTTTATGGCTTATTGTGGTGGTAAGTGTCTCAAAATGCATCGCATACACGATGTCTGATAAAATATTTTAATTTAATTTGAAAATTAACACTACTATAGTACATTTGAGTAACTAATTCCATACCTAATTTACACAGAAGAAAGTACGCATCCCTTGTATATCTAGTGAAAAGTCAATAGTACTGTTAGAGGGTAAGTAAACAGTACGCAGTTACGCCCAGTTGGTTTTTTAAAATCCTAAACACAGAATACATTATCCTCTATAGAGTAGACGCTGATTCTGAAAAGAGGCTTATAAAGCTAGGAGTTCCAGAACTCCTTGTATAAAGTAACATTTATTCCCTCGGCAATCTTTACTCGGTTTGACACTGTGCTATGTTAGACAAATGTATGGCGGTTTATTTCAGGGTGGTCGTCCTTTAAAACCAATAGGCCGTGACATCAATAGGTTTACTAAATTTAGCGAAAGGTGTAAAAAAATGGGCATTTAATTCTTGTTGTCAGTATTTATTTCGTAATTAGGTAAATTCACAGGCGACTTAAATCCCAAAAAAATCTATGAATAAACCAATATTATTACTAGTAACAAGATTATCGATTTTGAAGGCTAAGGAACATTCTATCATTTCAAAATTATAAGTGAAACATAAGTTTACTTTTCGTAACTATCGCGTCAAAATTGCTATGTTAGGGGTCTTTCGGCTATCATACATGCATTCCTTTTTTTTCTTCTGAATAAAACGAAAATTGTCCAGTCTATTTTTTAAAAGGTATATTTCTATTTGTCATATTAAGTCACACATGCATTTCTCCAATAAATGCCGTAATGCTGGACTTCAAATATTGCAAATAACAATTCTGGACCATCAAGCTCCAATGAACATTTGATTCTTTAAGAAGAAATAGCTAAAAATCTATTTGCTTAGCACGTGAAGTGGTCGAGGTGCAGGCTAAATGATAATTGAATATTTGTAGAGATATATAAAAATGCAAAATGAAACCATACAAAATATGTATTTTTCATCTTGTGCGACACGCATCCGTTGATATAGCCTACGTGATATCAGCGTTACAAAGTAAATACATTTACTATTAATAAGTTGTATTAAGGTGCAGTGCAGGCTGAATGACAAATTGAATATTTAGAATTATTAAGCTAGGGCAGTAAACCTGAGGCTCAAAGGTGTTGTGTTTTCATTTTAGAATATCACGACCTGTGTTTTGATGAAAACGGTGGATGTTCCCACTACTGCTACATAGATAAGACTACATTAAAACCTGCATGTTCGTGTCCAAGTGGTTTTCCTCTTGGAAAGGATCGAAGGACGTGCGGTGCGTGGCTGTTCCAAAAGAATGGAAGCACCGTAAAACCTGTTTGTTGTATCGACTTACTAGGTCGTAAATAAAAATTCATTGAAAGAATAATGAAATGCGTTTACAATCTTAGAAACATTTCCAGTTTAACGCGTATGGGGCTATGAATAAAACTTCTCACGAACACACACATACACACAGACAGAGAGAGAGAGAGTTCGCCAATTATGTAATTTCAGAGTATCGCGACCTGTGTCTGGACAATAACGGTAGATGTTCCGACAACTGCTCCATGGATAACTCTACATTCAAAGCTGTGTGTTCGTGTCCAAAGGGTTTCCGTCTGGGAAAGGACCAAAGGACGTGCGGTACGTGACTGTTCCAAAAGACCGGGTGTATGTCACAGTAAGTTAAGCCTTAAAGGGTATAGTAATGGGAATGTGTTTACAAACTTAGATAAATATCCAATGTAAATAATCGCGCGTTTTTATCCACACGTACAGTAACTCACAAAGAGAAAGAGAGAGAGAGAGAGAGAGAGAATGTTACCAATTATGCCATTTCAGAGTTTCACAATCTGTGTCTTGAAAACAATGGTGGATGTTCGGACAACTGCTCCATGGATAACTCTACATTCACTGTCGTCTGCTCGTGTCCGAAGGGCTTTGTGGTGGGAAGTAACAAGCTCGCCTGTAGTAAGTCTAATCTTTTTTTTAATTAAGTAAAAAAAATAGAAACACAGCCGATCATTTAGGAGAGCTGGCATTCATTCGTGCATTACAACCAGCTAAGTGCATTGACTTTGGGTCATTTCTTAATTCATTTTATCATCTTTTTCATTTATTTTTTCAGATAACTCTTGCTTTAAAAGTTTTCTCCGATTTCACTTCAGTTAGAGACGAGTGCAGAGTAGATAACGGTGGCTGTAGCCATTTCTGTGTCCATAGAGATTACAATGACCACAGCCACTGTCAGTGTCCAGTGAATGATCTGGTGTTGAGGCAAGATGGAAAAACATGTGAATGTCAGTGAACGCTTGCAGTATTTCTTTTTTTAAATTTGTTTAACATCGCCAAATACGGTACCTTGATCAATGAGCAATAATAGGAGATATGTGGGGGAATATGATATAGATACTCATTACAAAGACAATGGTAAAATGTTTGTCTAACTGGGCGTACCTTTTTATGTCATTAAATTTAAACATCTACATTTATGCTACGTCAGCTCCCGATGTCAACGTAACCTGCACCGACCAACACATGCAGTTGGACCTGCTCCGTTCGGCATTCCACGGTCTTAACGAGATTCAACTCCAGTTGACGGACCCTTCCTGCCAAGGCACAGGCAACCATACCTTCATCACGTTCAGGGCGCCCCTGCACGGCTGTGGCACGATCATGAATTTCACCAACTCCTCGGTCGTGTATTCCAACATCGTGTCTACTAGGCCAAACTACCTCTCTCTAATGAGTGGTGTCGTCACTTGGGCCGGCACGATCGAGATTCCATTTGAGTGCAAGTATGCAAGGGACCACTGGATCACCGGAAGCTTCAAGCCAGTTGTAGAGAAATTGAGATTCAAGGAAAAAGGTCGAGGGAACTTGACGTTCAACATCCAACAGTTCCAAACCGATAATTTTTCGACTCCGTACTCCGAAAAGGACTATCCTGTGTCCGTGAAGATTCGTGACCAGATGTATTTCGTGCTGAGCGTGAACACGACGTCCCCGGATGTGAAACTGTTCGCGGACACGTGCAAGGCTACACCCTCTTCCAGCCCCTTCGACTTCCTCCAGTTCAACTTCATCATTAACGGGTAAATGCCTGTGTTACACATAGGACACAAAATGTAATGAAAAAATATTTAAACTGTACATTCAATCAGATCAATGCAAAAATGCACGAACGAATATCCGTGGTTATATGAGTTTTTATAGTTTTTCTTCGTGTTTTCATGGTCTTACATACAGTATCTTAAGTTCCGTACAAAAATGACTCGCTCATAACCGCAATTTGGGATGTTTTAACGAGAAAGCTCACTTTTGTGTGTGTGTGTGTGTGTGTGTGTGTGTGTGTGTGTTTGTTTTATTATTATTAGATTTGATAATGGGCCATGTTTTTGTGTCTTAAGAACTAGTCAACTGATCATTTCCCAATCAGAAGTCATTTTCATATTATAATCAAATGAGCGTCATAAACCGGTAGTAAAATAACTTGCCGTTCCTTCCCTTCAGATGTTCAGTTACATCGGCAGTCAAGTTCCTCCCGAGTCCGGATCCGAAGGAGATCCGGTTGAGCATCCGGGCCTTCCAGTTCTTGAAAGCTTTACCTGAGATTTTTCTCCACTGCAAAGTGGTCGTCTGCCACACTGCGGATATGACGTCACGCTGTACCAAGGGCTGCGTGCAAGATGATAACACGGGGAAGAGACAAGCGGGA